ATTTAATGAAAAAAATTCTTGGTAATTTCTCCCTGCTGTGATGTAGGTGTAAAGCGTCTAATATTTGGTGAAGAGTTTTACTAGCTATTGTCTGAGGGAGAATCAAGATAAGTGTGCACGTGTGTGGGAGTCACTAACGTGTGATGCTAAGCGGTTTTCCAAGAAGTGTAACTTTTCTGTTAACAAACTATGATTTATTAAAAAAAAACACTTACACATGTCAGGAGTGTAGCATGTCAAAATGAGCATAACATTTTCCATTTTGTTGTTTGGTGTTTTTTTTTTTCACTCATTAATTCATATTGTATCTCCAAAGTAACTCAAAAGTTTTAAAATGTTTAGAGCGGAGATGCCCAAACTAGGGCCCGTGGGCCAAAGTTGGCCCATGGTAACCTTCGATTTGGCCCGCCATTCCATCTGAGAAGAGAGCGAAAATAATAGGGAAGCTTTTGTTTGTTTTATTATTAAATATAAAGTTTAAATGTACATACTGTCATCTGATGGATAGAGGACAATGCAAAGACTTGCAGGTGAGCAAATCGAGGCAAAGGCAGATTCTGCTGGAGTAGTGTATTCGGCATTGAACTCCTGTTCTGTTATGAACTGTTATGTTTTTATTGCATTAAGTCAGGGGTGGCCAACCCTGTTCCTGGAGAGCCACCTTCCTGCAGATTTCAGTTGCTACCCATATCAAACACACCTGAACCAATTAATTAGGACTTGAACACCACGTGATAATTACAGGCAGGTGTGATTGATATGGGTTGCACTGAAATCTGCAGGAATGTGGCTCTCCAGGAACAGGGTTGGCCACCCGTGTTATCATTTTAAAAGTTATACTGCATTAGTTAATTCGATTTAAAGTCAAATATTTTGCTTACTTTTAAAAAAAAAAAGGCATATATTTAAATTCTTACATATTTCAGCACATTGCTATTTATCATTTTCTATTAGCAGAATGTAAGGTAGATCCACTACAAATTACTGCACTGAAAAAAAAATGGATTAGGTGGCTTTACTTAAAAAAATTAAGCACTGCCTTAAAAGAGGGTATTTGCAAGTTTCACCAAGTTAAACTTAAGACCTTTTTAAGACCATTATGAAGGAAATTTTAGACTTATACAGGGCTAAATGCTATTTCGAACATCACAGTTGGAAAAGATTTTTACTTGCCCAATCAAATAAATGATTATAATTAAATACATTTAATTATACAATAATAATTATAAATATAGCTGCAAGCAGCAATTAAGGGGCCAAGCACTATTGGCCATAAGGTGGCGCTGCTCCAGACGTTTTTGAGTACTTTCAGGGCATGGGGTTGAAGATGCATACCATGTTTTGTAATGTGTGAATGTGTTGGTAAAATATAGCATTTTTGGCCAAAAATCGAAATGGGCGACGCCCAAAATGGCTGACCTGTGAAAATCAGACATCATTCGACTCGGCATGCTCTGCCGGATGTAATGAGACCAGTTTCATGAGTTTCGGACGAAAGGTTGAGACGTTATAAGCCAAAAAGCAAGTTTTTAGTATCTCCGGACCACTAGGGGGCAGTGCGCCGAAACTCCGCAATTAACCTTAGACTATAGTTGTTATAACACACACCAAGTTTGGTGTGAATCAGTGAATGCGTTAGGGAGATATTGCCTCAAGTCCATTTTCGCAAGTTCTTTGTTAAATTAGTTCGCAAGTTAAACGAAAACGGTTGGTCTAATCAACTTGAATTCCATAACTTTTGGTTGGCATGGTCTGTAGATCATGTGATTCAATTTTGGTGAAAATCGGAGACACGGCCTAGGACGAGTTCGATCAAATAAGTTTTTCGAAAAATTTAAAATAGCGCGAAAAAATTCATGACGGAAAATGACGTCATAGGGTGGGTTTGAATCGGACTGAGCCAAGGAATCAGAGGAAAAAAGAATTTTGATTGTAGCCCATTCGGTTTAAAAGTTATGATGATAAACATACGTGAAAGTTTGGACAAGTGGTGGCGCTAGAGAGTTTGATTTTGAGACTTCATAATTGGCCTGATTAATGTTAATACTGGCCTCTATCATTGTGCCAAATTATACAACTTTCCCGCATATGCCTATATGGGCTGCCATTCAAATCCGGCGGAAGAAACGGAAGAAGAAGAAGAATAATAATAATAATAATAATAATAATAATAAATATAGCTGCAAGCAGCAATTAAGGGGCCAAGCACTTTTGCCCAAAAGGTGGCGCTGCTCCTGAAGTTTTTGAGTACTTTCAGGGCATGGGGTTGAAGATGCATACCATGTTTTGTAATGATATGTGAATATGAAGGTAAAATATAGCATTTTTGGCTAAAAATTGAAATGGGCGACGCCCAAAATGGCTGTTCTGTGAAAATCAGACATCATTCGACTCGACGTGCTCTGCCGGATGTAATGAGACCAGTTTTATTAGTTTCGGACGAACGGTTGAGACGTTATAAGCCAAAAAAGCAAGTTTTTTGTATCTCCGGACCACTAGGGGGCAGTGCGCCGAAACTCCCCAATTAACCTCGGACCCTAGATGTCATAACACACACCAAGTTTGGTGTGAATCGGTGAATGCGTTACGGAGATATTGCCTCAAGTCCATTTTCGCAAGTTCTTTGTTAAATTTGATCGCAAGTTAAACAAAAACGGTTGGTGTAATCAACTTGAATTCCATAACTTTTAGTTTGCATGGTCTGTAGATCATGTGATTCAATTTTGGTGAAAATCGGAGAAACGGCCTAGGACGAGTTCGATCAAATAGGTTTTTCGAATAATTTAAAATATCGCGAAAAAATTCATGACGGAAAATTACGTCATAGGGTGCGTTTGAATCGGACTGAGCCAAGGAATCAGAGGAAAAAGAATTTTGATTGTAGCCCATTTGGTTCAAAAGTTATCATGATAAACATACATGAACGTTTGGACAAGTGGTGGCGCTAGAGAGTTTGATTTTGAGACTTCATATTTGGTCTGATTAATGTTAATCCTGTCCTCTATCATTGTGCCAGATGCATACCATGTTTTGTAATGATATGTGAATATGTTGGTAAAATATAGCATTTTTGGCCAAAAATCGAAATGGGCGATGCCAAAAATGGCTGACCTGTGAAAATCAGACATCATTCGACTCGAAATGCTCTGCCGAATGTAATGTGACCAGTTTCATGAGTTTTGGACGAAAGGTTGAGACGTTATAAGCCAAAAAACAAGTTTTTAGTATCTCCGGACCACTAGGGGGCAGTGCGCCGAAACTCCGCAATTAACCTTGGACCCTAGTTGTCATAACACACACCACGTTTGGTGTAAATCGGTGAATGCGTTACAGAGATATCGCCTCAAGTCCATTTTTGCAAGTCCTACGTTAAATTTGATCGCAAGTTAAACAAAAACGGTTGGTCAAATCAACTTGAATTCCATAACTTTTGGTTGGCATGGTCTGTAGATTATGTGATTAAATTTTGGTGAAAATCGGAGAAACGGCGTAGGACGAGTTCGATCAAATAGGTTTTTCGAATAATTTAAAATAGCGCGAAAAAATTCATGACGGAAAATGACGTCATAGGGTGCATTTGAATCGGACTGAGCCAAGGAATCAGAGAAAAAAAGAAATTTGATTGTAGCCCATTCGGTTCAAAAGTTATGATGATAAACGTATGTGAAAGTTTGGACAAGTGGTGGCGCTAGAGAGTTTGATTTTGAGACTTCATGTTTGGTCTGATTAATGTTAATACTGTCCTCTATCATTGTGCCAAATTATACAACTTTCCCGCATACGCCTATATGGGCCGCCATTCAAATCCGGCGGAAGAAACGGAAGAAGAAGAAGAACACTAACGAAAGCAATAGGTGCCTACGCACCTACGGTGCTTGGCCCCTAATAATAAGAACACTAACGAAAGCAATAGGTGCCTACGCACCTACGGTGCTTGGCCCCTAATAATTTAATAATAACAAATATAAGTCAGGTCAGTATCCTCAGCAGTAAATACTTGTAAACAAACATTACTGTAAGGAACGTAATTAGAACAGGATGGAAAATAGAGTTAAAAATGCTATTTTTAAATAAAAAGTTTTATTGAGATAAGAATTGTTAGTGATTGTATGAGTGTTAATGGCTAGATTGAGAAGCTATACATGAATAAAGGAAAATTAAGACCTGTTAAAAAAAGATTTAGGGCCTACAACAACATTTCAGTAGATTTAAGGCTTTTTAAGGCCTAAAATTGAGCTTTTGAGATTTAAGACATTTAAAGACCATGCAAATATTTTGTGAAATGATTAAGTAAACGCATAATTGTAAAAAAAAATATTTAAGTGAACTTAATAGTTCTAAGTTGGAACAGAAGTACTTTACATTTTTTTTAAGTAAAATGAAATTAAGGCAATGGGTTTACTTACTTTTCAAATTAATTCCTTTTTACAGCATGGTTTTTGTAAAATACACTGTAAAAATGCTGGGTTCAGCACTATTCCTTCATGTTGTCCCAACACAAATCGATTAAGTTAACTTAATCTCTTTTTATGTTTTATGAATAGAAGTAGAACATGGAACAATTAAGTTGTCCCCCCAAAAAACCTTAAGAATTGTGTTGCTCCACCTCATTTTAAATAAGTAGCTTAAACAAGCTGTAAAAGCCATTTCTGAGTGTGTGTTTACATGACTTTAAATCATAATTATTTTGCACACTGTAAAAAAAATGCTGGGTTCTACACAATTGCTTCATGTCGTCCCAACTGAAATCAATTAAGCTAAAATATCTAAGTGGATTGAACATAAAACAAATAAGTAGTCCCCCAAAAAACTTTTAGAATTGTGTTGTTTCAACTCATTTTAAATAAGTAGCACAAGCAGCAAACATCATTTTTTAAGTGAAATCTGGAAAGCTGTATTTTAAAACTGCAATCCTAAGACTAAGGTAAACACATCTACTGTAATCCACGCTCAAAAGCCACTGCTGCTAGCTTTCCAATTAACTTCACAGTTTCACTTACCTTTAATACCAGCAGCTGACATGCATGAGAAGGAAGGAACACAGTGACAATTTAACAATTAGCCATACTTAAAAATCCGAGCTAATGCTAGGAACTGCTCGTAGTAAATAAACAAATTAGCCTAAAATTGCTGCCATAATACTATCCGAGACAAAATCCTCTGTGAGAGACTGTAATGCCTTTTGTTTGTCTTCTAAAAACTATAAATGCTTTACACAGACTGTTACCTGTTATCATGGGTTACAAGCGTAACAGAATAGGCTGCGTATGTGTGTGTGTGTGTGTGTGTGTAAGCGCATGATACTGTGTGACTATGTATTACCCACCATGCTCAGCTGCAGCCTTGAGCGTGGCCTCAGAGTGTGTGGACCCAAACGGGTTCCTGATGAAGCGCCGACGTCTCCTCAGGTCATCCTCCCAGTAGTCCAGGCGCCAGAACTCCCGCGGTCTGCTGCCGAGAGGAAGAGCGAAAGAAAGAGAGAGATGGAGAAAGAGAAGTAGAGAGAGAGGGAGAGAGAGAGGCAGGCACATATGTTAGCAATTAGCCAATGCAGTGAGACGCAGCACAGTACCGGCATAATACAAGCCTTGTTTTGCTGCAACCTTCTGCAACTGAAACTGCACAAACTGGAGAATAGCTAAAATTGGATTTTATTTTTAAATCAATAAAATAAATTTTAATCAATAAAATAAAAATAAAAAATAAATCAATGTGGGTCAAAGTGTGAAATATATTATTATTATAATTTTTTTTGCACAGTTGAAATCAGAATTATTAAACCCCCCATTTAATTTTTTTTTCTTTTTTTTAAATGTTTCCCAAATTATGTTTAACAGAGCAAGGAAACTTTCACAGTATGTCTGATAATATATTTTTTTTCTTCTGGAGAAAGTCTTATTTGTTTTATTTTGGCTAGAATAAAAGCAGCTTTTAATAAAAAAAAAATAAAAAAACATTTTAAGGTCAATATTATTAGCCTCTTTAGGATATATAGTTTTTCGATAGTCTACAGAACAAACCATTGTTATACAATAACTTGCCTAATTACTCTATCCTGCCAAGTTAACCTAATTAACCTAGTTAAGCCTTTAAATGTCACTTTAAGCTGTATAGAAGTGTCTCGAAGAATATCTAGTCAAATATTATTTACTGTCCTCATGGCAAAGATAAAATAAATTTTATTATTTTTTTATTAGAAATGAGTTATTAAAACTATTATGTTTAGAAATGTGTTGAAAAAATCGTCTCTCCGTTAAACAGAATTGGGGAAAAAATAAACAAGGAGGCTAATAGTTTTGACTTCAACTGTATATATTATATATTATTTTTAATATTAACAATTTTTTCTACGATTTACAGAAATAATAACTTGCTGAGCATATTTAGAACAAAAAATGCCATATTAAAATTCCATTTAGGGATCACATTGAAGCCCCAAAATTAAAATGAATTATAATTTTAATAATCTAATGTTATCTGTATGCTTTGTTTTTAATTATGTAAAGAATAATTTATTTAATTGAACAAGTAGAAGGCAGTATAATTATCATTATTTTTTATTTTTTATTTTTGCATGAACAGGTTTATTAGTTGTTCTGCTGAACGACAATTCAATTATTATTTTATCCATTTTATTTACAACATTTATTATTTCAATTAAAATGTTAAAGACCACACTTGCCTTTAACATGCTACAATATGATTCTAAAATTACTTTTGTAAATTGAATTTGCCATGGACACCCAAACAGTACATCTAATAGTTGACTCAAACATTATTTAATAATGTAAAATCTATGTATTATAGACTGTATACACACATGTGGAGCAGTTACAAACCAGGGTTCAACGCAAAGGAACAGTGGTTCAGATTTTTACTTGCCCAGCCAATATTTTCACTAGCTCCACCAAAAACTAAAGTTAATAGCAAATAACATCTGTGAATCTAGAATTTGAATATTTAAAAAATGTTAATAAATGTATAATGAGCAAAATTCTAAGTGTTATGTAAACAAAAATGACAGTATGGAAAATGTGCAGGTATTTTATTGCAAAACAAATGGTGAATTGGCAAACTGCAAGACATCATGTCATTTTTTCGCTGTGTTGTACCCACGTAAATGCCCGAGACATTAGAAACAGATGTTTTCATTAGCCTCATAATTTGATGTTGCCGTTATGTTGACGTCTCTTTGCTACAGAAAAAAATAACGTGCTCACAACATCCAATTAGATGCCAGGAACCAATATGCAAAATGGTGTTTATGACTTTACAGAGAAGGTGGCATTTAAAGGCTTAAAAGCAAAAACTGTTGACAAATTGACAATAGTAAATTGCGACAAATAGTGGCAGGCAAATAAACTTTGGTGACAAGACAACGCTGGCCCAATTGGGCCAGTAACAATCTTGTCCACCGTCACGAGCGTCTCTCACGCTGGGCCATCGGGCAGTCCTTATTATTGAGCCCTGCAAACAATAATAAACTTATTATGACTACTAATGCTGCTAATGATAATATAACCAGTGTATCCTAAAGCTAACTTGCTCATAGCAACAGTGAAGGAAAAAACCTGTTAAACTGATACATGTGTTCTAATTTTAGAAGTCACATAAGCACAGAATGTCCGAAGTGTTTGTCCTTGGAAGTAACACTGAAAAAGAGGCCCAGATTTTTGCAGCACCTCAAGAAGGTGAGATGAGAGCTAAATACATCACACTGAGAATCAGCCTGCTGACACAGCAATCCAGAACACACATACACACACACGCATACACACGCACAGAAAATGAGGCAGTGCTGTGATTCCAGGCTCATTTCTGAGCCCAGCAGGACACCTTACAGCAGGAGAGGAGCACATTTGACTCAATGTCCTTCGCCTTCAGCCAGTTTTCTTCTCAATTTGCACCTTTTATCACTGTAAAGAAATCTCTGGCTCATCCTTATCCTACTCCATCTCTCCCTTTCTTTCCTTCATCAGCTCACTATGTTTTCTCTTGACGCGTGTAAAAATGTTTAACGAAGGTATATAGTCAGACGAATGGTTATAACATATTACCCCATTTAGATTCAAAGGACTTTAATTAAAATAATCTCGTAAAATATTCATTATGTTTAGCCCCCCGAGGTAAAGCAAAAATACATTCCCTGCACCATAAATGAGTTTAATCTACGAAAGCCTGCTTAATTTGAAACAGAAAGAACTAATTTCAGGCCAGGGGAGGGAGAAGTGCAATTTGCTGAATTGAATTAAACTCATTTTTTGGGATGTAACACACGATGGCAAGAGTAATTAATTACACCCATACAGACAGAAGAAAAATGAATTTAGAACCTAAAGAAAATTTTTCAAGGACGAATGTGATAAAACAGTACCAGAATCTTGTTAAACTCAAGAACCGAAATTCAATGATCATATGCCATCCAAGAAGAATCGATCGCAGAGCAGATCTGTGGTGATCCGGCGAGCGAGAGGGGGTTGATGGGGGAACGACTGCGAATGGCTTTAGCAGTGGCTCTGAAGCCGTTCCTCCGGCTGATTTACTGTAGCAGCGGTGAAATATAACTCTCTAAGTCCATTCTGTTCTGTGGAAGTGAGAAGAAGTTTTATCGTGCAACAGGGCCTCCACACCCAGGCCAAATAAATCAGGATAACGGCCACTTAAGAGCCCTCCCTAGTGCTCACCTTCTTTTTTACGCCCGCATACTTTAACAATCGCCAGCAAACATGCTATTATGACCTAAAATACCAGAAGAAGGGGGAGAAAGAGAGAAGGAAAGTATTGAAAGAGAGAGTTGAGAAAATAGATAAATCAAAGAATGGTACGGCAAGTCTTCTCAGAATTAATGATACTAAGAGAAATAAAAACAGACAGAAATACTTCAGGAAATAGTTACGGTGTGCAAAATAACACATTTTAGTAGGCCGCTTAAAACGGCTATCATACGAGCAGGGCAGGTATTAATCAGTATTTACTTTTCATTTTGCCAGCAAATTTTTTTTTTTAGTTTTAGTCATAATCATTTTAAAATGCCATTTAGTTTTCTTTTTTATATTTATGTTTAGTCTTTTGGATGCATTGTAGTTTTGGTTGACTGAAATTTAAAAGATTTTACGATTTGACTACACTCAAAAAATTACATTTGCTTGTTGTTCGAAATATTTAAAAGGAGCTGAAATAACACAATCCTTGAGGTTTTTTTTGGGAGGGAAACTTAATTACTTTAAGTTCAATCCACTTAAATTTGAGAAAAACTAACAAGCTAACTTAATTTCTTCTTGTCGTCAAATTTATTGTACAGAACCCAGCATTTTATACAGTGTAAATTTACTTTAGATTTAGTAGTTTAGTTCAGTTTAGTTCATTTTAGTTTAGTTAAGCTGCTTTGACACACCTTATTAAAGTTAATTTGACATAATTGAATTTAACAAAACAATATATAAATTATGCATATATCAAAAAGCTCAATATACACTACAATATATATTGGAGAACACGATTATAAACCAGAATGATATTTTGATATTACTTATATAGTATGAACAAAACAGGCCCAAATTTAACAGTTTTATCTTTAAACCGCAAAACATTTTTTTCATAGTTTGTGTAATTCAGAATTAAGTTTTATTTAGTTTGTCTTTTGTCCATTTTTCGTCTTTGACAAAAAATATTAGGGCTGTATGATATTGGAAAAATCTGATATTGTGATATTTTATTTTCCTATAATAAATATTACGATGTCAATGAAGTCTCACAAGATAGTTGAAATGCTCTATTTGACAGTTTTCTGGGGAGTCTAACAGTATTCAGGTAGAGAAATTAAATAATGGCAATGCAACAAATTTATGTATGTATGTATTTCTTAAGGACCGATTACACCGAACACACTTTTTCCGTTGAGAGGTGCCTTTTTTGAACCATTTACTAACAGCTGCTGCTATGTGCCCTGCGCGCCTCGAGTTTTAACTGCTCGTTACGTCAGTCCTGTGTTTCATTCTCCAATCAAATGAAAGCAGGAGTTTCTGTTGAGGTGACGGCAGTGTTTGTGTTATCAAGACAACCAAGTTGACTTAAAGATAGAGGACAGACTAGTGGTCAATGCTTGAGTTATGCGGCGCTGTATGATTCAAAAATCTTCAATTTTACAATATAGTTAAATATTAAAATTATAAAAATATCAACAGCAATACTCGCGCACAACAACCAGCTGATACAGTCTTTGTCTAGTCTTTTTTTCTAATCATTAAAAAAAGCAGTGTAGCGCCTCACGCTTTAGAACAGACAAGTGCATTCTCTGTGATCTGCCCCTTACTTTGCTTTGTCTCATTTCTAGTCCAAATATCAAACATAAGTCAAGTAAAAATATTGTTTTGTTTTTAAATTCATATCAAATAAGGCAAAATTTGGAGTTTTTCCATAAAACAAGCAAAATTAATGCAAAATCAGATGAG